CCTGGTCTACATCACACAATTTAGACTTAAAGCCTTTAGGTCATCTCCAGCAACCTATATCCCAAGATTAGATCCCATGCCAGGGCAAAGTGGATCTCCTGCTGAGTTCTGACAAAATGATGAGAGGTCTGGCATCCTGGTGTAAGATGCCACATGCAAAAGGCAACTAACTGCGAGGGTCTTCAGCAGTCTTCTACTTTAATTCTGTTGTTTCTTCTTTGATTTGTACCCCAAGTCACCCCAAGCCATTCCACAGCACAGGAGCACAAGGGGATCAGACTATGAATGAGTCCAGGAAGATGAGGACAGGGAGGGGAGAGAAAATGATTTTCAGGACAAACTCTTATACTTGACAGAGTAGGCTGGCTTGTTTGTTTTTCTGCTGCTAGAACTATTTATACAGGGGAAGAAAATGATAACATTTCAATTCCTTCATGAGAATATAAACAAAACGAGGGGCTCTCTGTGGCTGGCTCTCACCCATGGTGCTTCCTGTGCAGAGCTGTCTCTGGCTGCAGCAGGGTTTTCTACAGCCCTGACAGCAAGGGGAAGGTGGGGGAAGGGACACAATCTTTGCAAACCATGCTATGAATTTGAAAACTACCCAAGCTCAATCCATTAACAATCATGGCACAGATGAATACAACTGTGAGGAAGAGACAGCCTCAAAAATACCCTAAGAATTACAATCTGTTAATGAATACGTGACTCCTGAGTCCCGAGGAAGCAGGCGGACCTCCTTATCACTTCCTAGATCATTCAGCTTTGGACAGAGATTGACTAGAAGATGATGAGGTCAATGATACCTCATTTTAAATAAACTACAAGAGCTTTAGCTTTAAAATGCTGGTAATAGCCTTAGTACATGTAGCTTGGCAGGTTAGCATTTCTCGTATCTGGATACAGGGTCAGTCTGGCTGGTGTTTGGGCCCACACAGGATGGGAGGAGAGTGGAAGCTGAGGAAAACAGCGGCAGACTTATGGCAAGCACGGACATTTGGACTGCATGTGTGCATGCGATGCAGAGGCAGTCACCTTCTCTGAAGTGCTCCTAAATCTACGGGGCAGATGGAAAGAGCAGGTACCGGGCGCAGAAGAACTTAACAACACACCACACCGGAAGCAAAGAAAGAAAGACTTCAGCAGCCAGAGGGCGACAGGGACCCACGCTCACTGCAGAGGAATTGAGGCAGTAAGAGCTGGAGGGGGCCCCAGGACAGGGCTGCTGCGCAGGACCAGGGAAGGCCAAGTGCCTCGCGCAAGCCCCTGTTGTCGCAGCCTGCTGAGTTAGGAGGACCCGAGGGGGTAGCCACACTGGGAAAGACTCACTAGGACAGCATGGGTCCTAGACAGAGGTTTACAACTGTGCAAAGTTAAGGCTATTAATAAATGTGTTGTCCAAAATAGCAACCACTAGCCACACATGGCTGCTGATCATTGGAAAGATGGCAAGTCTTAGATGGGCTGTAAAAGGGAAACACACACTAGATTTCAAAGATTTAATATAAAAGGAATGTACACTGTCTCATCAATACTTTCAATTTTGTTAATTTGAAAAATTATTTTAAGTACTAATTAAATATTAAAGTACTGATTTCTAATACTGGGTTAAATAAAATGTTATTACAGTTCATGTCTTCTCTGTATGTTTTAAACGCCATGCTCAGTGCTCACTATATCTCTGCTGGACAGCACTGCTTCAGGCTCTGGTTCAGCTCTGAGGCCCCAAGGAGGCGGTCCTGTGCAGTGGTTAGGGCTGGGGTACTCAGTTCAGATGGACCTAGGTTCTGTACCCTGTCATCTACTGACTTCCCAAGGTACCTGGCACACAGCTTATCTTCTCCCAGTCTGCCTGTCCTCATTTATAACCGGAAATAATGATAGTCCTGCCTCTCAGAGACGATCAAATCTAAAATGCCCTTATCTAGAGAGGACCTGAGTTCTTAGAATGAAGATTAAGTCATGGATTACACAGACAAGCACAACTTTTACACTTGATCTTAGCCAAAAGGCCGAGAAGCGATAGACAAGCACAACTTTTAAAAGTGAACAATTTTAATAAGCCAAAAGCTGTGAGAGGACCTGAGTTCTTAGAATGAAGATTAAGTCATGGATTACACAGACAAGCACAACTTTTAAAAGTGAACAATTTTAATAAGCCAAAAGCTAATTCCAAAGAGAAATATGGTGAGATCGTAAATAAGTATCAAAATATCAAATCATGCCACATTTAAAATATTCTTTATTTTTCTTGCTTTTGACCCACAGCTACTGGCTCAGAAATATATTAAGCAGACGTAAAGCTTAGAGTTATCTAAATGCAGATTAGCTCTGCTGTTTTCTGCGTCACTTCTCTCTGTCACTTAGCAATGCAAGCTCAGCAAAACCACTTTTATTCTCCCCTGCAGAGACACAGTTATACTAGCATTCTGCCAAAGAACAATCACATAGCTGGGTATGGTGGCACCTACCTATAGTCCCAACACAATGAGAGGCTAAGGCAAGACGTTCATAAATTTGAGCCCAGCCTGAACAACTGCATAATGTAGCAAGACACTATCTCAAAGTTAAAAAATGGAGAAGGACTGGGGATGTATCTTATTGCAAAAGCCCTGGGTTCAATTTGCAGTACTGCTTCAACCAAATCACATGCAATCAGATAGTTTACTATGAGGTAGTTCCTGGATTTGGGTAACGTGGTAGTGGGAAGAGAACAAGATGAGGTGTGCAGGGCCAGACATTCAGCCCTGGGTGGCCACAGCCTTAGCCAAGGTCATTTGAGCTCCCTAAGGGAGCCCTGGAGATGGATTTTGCATACACGTGTGCACGTGCACACACACACACACACACCCCACCTGCCTAGAAGGTGTCACAAAATATTAATGATTAACATTACTTTAATTTCTAGGGGCCAGGGATGTAGCTCAGTGGCACCACACCTGTATGGCAAGTGTAAGGTCCAGAGTTCAATCCCCAGTACTGGCAAAAACAAACATTACTTTAATCTCTTGGATTCGAAGATTGACCCACACTAAACTAATGATACTTTGCTCTGTATTGTAATGTGAATAGGAAGAAGGTAAAAAAGGTGCCTTTTACATGATATTTATTAGGACTTCAGTTTCCTCCTCTTTCTTACATATCGTGAAGAGTATCACCCAAATAAAGGTTCTCAGAAAACGTGCTTAGGTCTTAGCAAGATGAAATTGGAAAGAATCTTAGCCATTGTTTCCAAGCAGAACATATTCTGCACAGCACGATGATTGTAGCTGTGGGCCAGAGTTTCCAATGACAAAAGTTATCTCATAGTGAAGCCATTCTATTTGGTTTCTCTGGAATAAAAATACTCATCACTATGATCTTTGAAACCAGTAGCATAGAATCCAGGTACCTAAAAGGACACCGAGAGGATTTTACCTAGCCATTAAGCTATCTGTGTCACGAGTAGAGCACACACATACAACAGTGGCTTTACAGTAAGTCCCTCAGCTTTCACGTAAAGAAGCTGCGCTTGGGAAAGTTTTAGAGTAAAGCGAAGGCATCACATCCACCCAGGTCTAGCCATGCATGTGACTAGAACCTGCTTCCGCACACATTTATCTGCTACTGTTTTTAAGGGGAGCACCCAAGGAGCACTAAAGCGTCTGTTTCTGCCACACGGGAGTAGTCTTCATTCTCTGTTGGTTTTCACCTTTCTCGAGTTTCTATAAGATGTCGACGAGGCCAACGAATTTGAGAAAATGAGTGTGTACAGCTGTTTACACTTTACCTCTGTTACATTATAAAACAGTGCTCTCGTGGCTATGTGTTTCAGCACATGGATAAAGGTACTCTTAGACATAAAACTTCAGACCTAAGAGGGTACCTTCTCAGTTCACATGATATAGATGATTCTGTGGTTCACTCACTCAAATGCTTCTGTTGAAAGGACATCAAGTAAACATATACAATAGCATTCAAATAAGTCACGGGGCAGAGAGAAGGAAAGTGAGATGCTTTTCTATCAAGCAGAGGACAGAAAAGCAAAGTAATCTATCAGCCTTGCATGTGTCGGGGAGGCAGCCAAGTGTGATCTCTGTAAGTTTGGAAATGGAAAACGATTCTGTGAGGTTGTGGATTGTCAACATTCTGACAGGACAGATAAATACATCATTACTGTCTGATTCAAGTCATTTTCATCGATTAAATTCCCATTTTTTATGATGTTTTACATTTTTTTGTAAGTTTTGAAGCTAAGTTCTACGGCCACCACCATTGTTCTACTATGGCCAGGACCATGCACAACATACCTAGAGGTCCAATTAATCAAACACAAGACGAAAAGTAACCCCTTTCTTTAGTCTTGGGCAACTAACCACACTGCCAACCTTATCTGTGCAGTGAGTGGAAAGCAAACAGGGATTGTGCCTGAGAGCTGACAGTCCGTGGCTGAGAGAGTCGCTGCTTCTCACTCTCAGCAGTTGTCCTGGGTTAAGAGGGCAGTTACACCACTTGGTTACATCTTAGGGAACACTGCTTTCCCCAAAGTATGAAATGTTTGCCATGAAAAACGCCAGAAGCAGGTAGTTGGATAGATAGAAAAAAGGGGTGGGGGAGGGAAGGAAGCCAATGGAGACAGACATTGGGAAATGCTGTGTCTGTTTCCTTCTTAAAGATTCACAAGGTGTATTAACATACTAAAATTTCTTGCAATTCCGGAGGATCTCTGTTTAACTCAGTACAATGCATCCAAGTTTATTTGGTCACGTGAGCCTTCCCCACTGCTACCCCTTTACAATCTACGAACATCTCCCACAACTAGGATTTCTAGACAGATAATCTGGGAAATACTTTTTGACTAATAGAGAAGAGAATGAAGTGAGACAAATAATACATTCACTTCAAGTTTGGAAACCCTTCAGTGCTAGGTAGAAGCCAGTAGGACAACGGAATGAGTGTTGGGAAGGGAAGGGTTTCTTAGAACCGGAAGGCTACCTGGCCATAGGTAATGCTGCACTTACTTCAGGAGGTTCCCGAGGTTGAAGAGCGCACGGCTGTGCTGTGGGTGGAGCTGCAGGGCCCGCTGGTAGTAGCGCTTTGCCTCTGCTGTGTCTCTCATCAGTGTTCCCAGGTTGTTCAGCGCACTGGCATGGCGTGGGTACAACCTGTGAGACCAGAAGTGATGAACCACGGTAGGCCACAACCAAATACAACGTTGACTCTTCCCTCCCTTTAACAGGCTGTGTCACATCTTAACAGTCAGCTGTTTCTGCAGCTCAAGGAGAATAAATAGGAGCACATACTTGAGATGCAGACGTATAAATAACTCCCAAATAGAGCAAGTGTGAATAACAGTAAATCTACCAGGATTAAATTATTTTTTTGTCCGTCAGGGCCTACAATTACTTTCAACTTCTGTGATAAATTCTTCCTCTGCTTGGTGGTGAGTTCCTCAGCAGAGGGGCTACAAAGGCATTTTTCGAGTACATAGCAGCTGCCATAGCTGAGACAGGATGATTTGTAATATCTCTCTACCAAAACAAGTAGCCTCAAAGTGGCTCTTCATCTTGACTTTTGTTTTCATTTCTTTTCTTTTTCCCCTTCATCTACTACAATTTGGTTCCAACTGGCTGAATAGTTTTTGAAATAAAATTCTTGAAAACTTAAAACACTTAAGAATAAAAAATTAAGTAATGCGCAGTGAAGTTAAAACCCACATTTCTAATGTTCTACAAGCAAGTGTCCATGAGCATGGGATGTACATCAGTAACCAAACGCATGCTGATTAAGAGCAAAAGTGAACAGAACCTAGACCAGCACAGCTACACAATTCGGTTGTTCCTGACACTTGGGAAGATGTGTTTAGCAGTGCAGCAGGGTGGCCCATCTCACTCACTGGCAGACTCTCCCCGAGTGAGCCTGAGGAGCCGGCTGGCTCTGAATGCAGACAAGCCAAGATAATACCCATGCAACAAAAATAGAAGCTGGACTTCTTACGTGTCTTGACAATAAATGCCATGCTGGCTTCCCTGTTCTGACCTTGAAAGAAGGTCATTTTAATTTGGGAACAGAGTGGTTCTTATGCTGAAAGGCCAAGGAAGACGGGCTACATTGCCTTTTTTTTTTTTTTCAATCTTCACTCACCTAGAGCTTCCTGTTTCTTCCTGCCCAACTCCTGCACAGAACAGAAGGAATATCTCTCTGACAGAATTCTAGGAAGATGGTTTGGAAGGCTGCTCTGGACTGACAAGGGACAGAATCATTTCAGGTTCATCCTCTCACAACCAGAAAGCCCTTTCTATCCAAGGTAGCTTTGGAGGCTGTTAGGAGAAAGGTATTCACATGAAATCAGGCAAAAGAAAGCATGTGGAGCAGCCTGTATGCTGTGTCCACCCCTCTCTGAGCAACTTCAGCATTACTCATGGGTGCTTCTGAACACCCAGCCTCTGAGTTGCTGAGGACCAGTGCTGGGCCACCCATCAGAGATGCAACCAGAGAAGGCCAGAGCCACTGTGAGGGGGGAAGGATGCTATTGTTCCTGCCCATCATGGCATGCCCAGGGGAAGGTTCTGCGAAGCTCGAGATCTGTGGAAGTCAGAGCAGAGTGTAGCATATCCGGGACTCAAATTCTTCTAGAAAAGCTCTTTTTCTAATGGTGAGCAGAGATGTTTGACTGGGTGTGCAATGTCCATGCTTCTGAGCAGCTCCAGAACCAGCAGTGATGGGACGTATGTCAGGGACCAGTGCTTTCATTTATCTCAGAGGACTTTTTTCTTTTCTACATGACCTAGGCTCTAGAATCCACAAAATAACCATGGGAGGTGCAATGCAAAACACGGAGGACGTGCTGACTGCATGGGAGCCCCTACATCCACACAGGTGGCGCCTACAGCCCGCAGGAAGGTGCTACCTGCTCTGCAAGTGGCTGGTCCTTGCCAGCTGCTGCTCAACCCAGCCGCATGCAAATGAGAACCATGGACTGCCAGAGCTCACTGACTACAGAGACAACCTCCCAGTCAGAAACAACGCAGGTCCACACTGAATTCTCAGCATCAAAAGCAAGCCATGAAAAGGGCAGCGGGGAGGTGCAAACGGCAGCATTGTTGGGGGAGAGGCCTCGGCACAGCAGGTGCAGGGAGTGTGGCCCACAGCTGCTGGGGAGGCCCAGGAGGAGAGGGCTACAAGGCCCACTATCAGTGGATGGGCAGGCACTAGCCAGAGCCTCCCATGCATCCAGCAATGGGCCGCAGGTGCAGACAGAGATGCAGTGACTCATCCACCAAGTACAGCCCTCCATCCGGAAAACACACAGGTATTGCTCAGAGGTCATAGTGAGGGTCTGGAGCAACGAACGCTCTGATTAGTTTACCTCATCACAAACAACCACTGCATCATTTATGAAACTGTGCAGAATTTCATTAAAAGGATTCTTACCCATCAGTTTAGGGCAAATATCTTAAAAATTTATACAGATGTAAACGCTTTCTTAAAACATATTCTTCTACTATTTACTGCAGACCTATGGAATTTATTTTGTGGCTTACTTTTTAAATAAACTCAGGTTTAATTACCTTGAGTCTATGGAAAGACAAGTAATTTAAGAATGCCTATGTTGTTATATTGCTACTGTTAGAATAAACAAAGTCTTTTTTGCCTTACTTCTGCAGGTATGGATTACAGTGATTACTGCCTTCCCCGCAAAACCTCAAAAGAGTCCCTGGACAGGACCAGATTGGTGACTTTTTAGGCGTATTTTTAAAAGACCAGTGTGAATTATTTCTGGATTTTCCTGCTCACAGTCTTAATTGTCATTTGTATTGTTTGTGGAGGTTTATTTTATTTCAATGAGTTACACATTAAAATTTTAGTTTGGAGAAACTGTCACTTTGGCAAAACAGTTCTAGGGGACAAGGAAGCTTTTCTCCCTCTTTGGAAAATATTTGCACAGATTGCGTTCTGATCTCCTTTCTGATCTCCACATCTGCTGTTATGAACTGAAGAGAATTTTTCTCAAGTTTTGGATAATTTATATTCTTGTTTATCATAACATCTGTTAAAGCATTTAAGGGTCTGTAGTTTTGATCCAGTGGCATTTCTTTAAGCAGCATTAATAAAGTAGGTAGTTGGGACATTATTCTCCCCCAGGCATAGCTATTTGATCACTAATGAACCCCAACAACCTAACAGGAATAGGGAGAGAGAGCTACCTAATGGAAGGAGAGTAAAAAGAAAACAGGACCCAAAGTACCCAGGATGTGCTAGGGGGTACCTTACACTTCAAGAGTTTCCTCATACGTGGTCACATTTAATTAATTAAAATTAATTCTGTACAACTACTGTTCAACTTTACAGTTGAGGAAAAGGAGGCTTAAAAAACTAATATTGGATTAATTTTAAAACAACATTTCAGAAATACATGTCCTCAAGTGTCAAGAAAGCAAACAGCTCCTCTAAATCTATTTACTTCCCAAATAATTCAGGAGTCCTTCAAACTTCAGTAGATAAATAAATTACTAGAAATTAACATTTCCACTTTGGAACAATTTCTCCTTTTCATTCTTCTGATCAATTTATTCAAACTGTGCTCATATAAGATTAGTTCTCAGTGATAAAACTACATAAACAGTACTCAGGAAGTTTGGCTACTCAGATTCTTATTTAGTGGGGAAAAACTATCCCCTGCCATGCAAAGTAATTATAGTTCTCCGAAAAGCACAGAATCATGGAAATTACCTGGAAATTACCTACTCAGTAGGATGTATGGCATATACTCTCTGATCTGTCGATAAGCTCTAAATATCAACAGACATAAGATGTATACAACCAAAGTTTGATTTTCTATTTTACTTTAGTCATTGAATTTACATTTTGTACAATCTATTAAAAAGCTAAGGATGCTGTTTATTTTTCATTTGGGTACTTATAAGGCATTTCATTGTGGAAATAGCATTGCCTCATGTGCTACAGTTTGGAATTTCCTTTTAGAACATACACACCCTGATTTGTCTGATTTCCACTCCACACATGAACCTGAGGTTAACTACACAAGGTCAGATGTTTACTTTCTACTTCCTATTGAGAAAAGAAAGAACCCAGAAGAAAACATGGGCAGGAAAAAAATTCAACTATAAATTCACTGGACTAAAATATACACAAAACAAACTAAAAATCTCATTTCAGTAGTTGACTGCATATGTTCTACACTGACAGCCTGGAGTACTTTAAGTGCTGGTTCCTTCATGTGATAAAACATCATGTCAGTAAATCTCTGATAATTTTATTACTCTATTCTTTAATTGCTTGAAATTGCCATTAACACCTAGCAAGTGCTATTTTTTTTTCTTTTCTTTTTCACTGTGCTCCTTCTGATCCATTAAAGACAGACTTGTGTGTAAAACTTCAAATGCAATTTAGACAGACAGGACACATTCTCCAAGTAGAGGGCACCAAAATGATCTGACTCTCATACTTGATCTTAGCCAAAAGGCCTAGGCCAGCGATAATTATCTGACCATTAGCAAGCGATGGCCTATAACAGTGATACAGAAGGACTCCGCCTAGCCCAGTTTTTGACTGAGGAGAAAAACCACGGCTTTCGGATATCCTCAGGAACTGAGTCATTTAAACGGCTGAATCTTCCTGACTCCCGAGAGTGCACTGCTAAGGCTGGGAAATTTACTGGACTGAAATACTTGTCTACTCTTTATTAAAAATGATGAGTGTCATCGCCCTTTCTCAGAGGCCTGGAGTGACCAGAATGAACATTTTTTTAATTTTCATTTTCATTTTTTTTTTTTTTTTGGTGGTATGCTGTTAGGAAGCTACCGTGGTAGAAGGAAAAATAACTGGGTTTGGAATAGGAAGCCACGTGTGACTTTGCAGCTGTGTCCGCTTTGTCTGTAAGGTACGGTTGATAACCACTGCCCTCGGTGAGCACACGGCCCCCGTGTGAACAGCGAGAGGCAGGGTCGGGCCATCCCTTGTCACACCATGACGTGGTGTACCCTGAGTACTTCTGGGTCAGGTGCAGGTGTGGGTTCCCCGAGGCCAGGATAAGCTCACACCAGGCTGGAGTAGCCTGGTTTCTCCTCACCTCAGATGTTTCACTGTCAGAGACATCATTCTCTCCTCTGCTGCCTGCAGGCTTCGACCCGTCACCACAACA